AGTGGAGCGTGTTGACCTGAGAGGCTGGGGAATCTCCATTCTTGGAGATACTAAAAAGAATGCCTGGACATGATCCTGGGCAATTGTCTCTAGGGGACCCTGTGTAATCAGATTGAACAGGATGGCCTCCAGGTGACAGCCTTCCAACCTCCATCATACCATAATCCTGTGATTTCTTTGGTATAAGCATCAACTACATATCCTTTTGCTTTCACCTTTACAGAACAGCTGATAATCAGCAACAGTTCTGACATTTCATACCCCAAGGATTTTGTATTATTTAATAGTTAAATTTTGCAGACTTTGACTAGATTCTAAATATTTTTTTTTTAATTCTTGCTCAGTGTAATCTTTTTATGGTGTTGGAAGCTGTTTCTTTATTAGTGTGTTTAATTTATGAAAATACAAGTGCAGCTAACTACAATTTATGATTTTGTAATGTTTTTCCACAAAGAAATTAAAAGGAGAGAACTTGAAATATTGTCATGTGTCTTATATGTGGACACATTTCATAACGCATGCTTGACCATATGAAATTGATAACTTTTTTACATATTTTACCTGAGAATAAGATACCAAAAAAAGGAATTTTTGTATGATTTTTTTTTGGTGATAATAAAGCTTATCCCAAGCATTTCTGAGACCACATATTGAAATCATAAAATTGACATAATTCAGTTCAATAGATTCAGTTCAGGAGCTGAAAGCACCCAACATTCTAATATCTACTCTATTTCATATAGGTATTTTTTACTCCATCATGTCACTTAACACAATTCTTTTTATGATGCTCACTGAAAAGTGGACATCATAATACCATGCTGTGTTCTTCAAACTGTTTCAATCCTCCAAAAAGTCCAAACATTGGGATTCTGGGTTTTGGATAACCAGACTAGAATGAAAATTGCCATGGAATAATTCATACAATTCAGCAACGTCTCTAGAAGTGCTAAATCATGGTATTGATGGATCAGTTCCATTTTTGCTATAAATTTGCACAGATTGATTTTATTTTTGCAGCATGGTTTTTAGCCTCACTTAGCAATAGAAGGATTGATGTTCCTTTGTTATTGGCTCGGTCAGACATCAAAATACTTCAGATTCATGCAAAGAAACTGTATTTTTGAGGGGAAAGAAGAGATGAAAAGTGTGTAAAGGGGAAAATAAGCACTTTTTATATTAGAGTTTGGCAAGTCCATACTTCTTTGCATTTAAAATACAATTTTTCATTTGTTAGAAGAAAGGTTTCCTAAGCCTCTCCATCAGTCAGAGAATCATTTTTTTTGCAATGCAGATGTTACACACTCTATTAGTCCAGTCTACTTCATTCACTGCACAGTGATCCTGAAAGTGCACAGATAATACAGAGATGAAAGGTACTTCAGGATGCTATTGCTAAAACATGACATTTCATGTTTTGTCTGTTTCCCCCCCTACATACAACACCGCAAATGTACACTAAGTGCTTTCTTCTGGCTGAGGTGGGAACACTTAACTCCTTGCAACAGAAGAGAGGGACTGTTAAAAGCATTAGCTCTGTAAACCTGTGAACTTGAATACTAGTTCATAAAACATCTTAAATACTTCAAGAAATTCACTGCCAAAGTAGCTGTTATTGAGAAGTTCCTCCATCCTTCCCTTCATGCCAATGAGCAGTAATCCTCTATTGCTGGCCAGCTTCTTTCATACATGCAGCCAAAAGAGAAGACCAGGCTCTTGGGACCCTTCCTGGCTAACCAGAGATGCTTTGTGGCTTTCCAAAGCCATTATGCAGCAGTGAATACACAGAGTGATTCCATGGATATGACAAAATGTAGGAAACCTAAATGTGTGCACAAGTATCAGAAGTACACAAAAGATGCAATGAGACTGTTACTGTAGGAGGTTTAATACCAAGACTGCATCAAGAATTTTTTGGGAATATTCATCAGACACTGATTTGGACCTCATGAGTCCTAGGGGTTTTGGAACAACCAAAATTCTCCATCTTCTTCTCTCTTTGTCCACAGAAATTTCAGCAGTATGAATTATGAATCAGAGTTAACAGAATTGAATGCTAAGTTAGTTTAATGAGTGGCTTGGAGTGAGTTTGAGAAGATTTTACCATGAAATCATTGCTCACATTTCCACAGCTAACTTTGAGGCAAAGCTCATATCACATAATTTCCATTCTAAACTTTTCATTTTCTACTCTAAACTTTTAATCAGACTAACACTAATTTAAAATTATTCTCTGTGCTTACTTTCACATTCATAGTATGTCTTGACTGAAAACATGTAATTGCTCAGTACTTTCTCCTATGCATGCCTGAAAGCAAAAAATAAAAAAAAAAAAAAGGCAAAAATTCTTGAGAAAAAAGGGCTAGTATATTAATTTGAAGCAGAACCTGGCATAGTCTTTTTTCACTGATACTCTGGGAAATCTTTGTAGAACTGTCTAAGCAGCAAGCTGTTCAAATGGATGTAAGTGGATAGAGCAGGCTTTGGAATAACAAGAAAAGCTGGATGAGCATAAACATTATCTGGCTCCATCGATTCTGCAGACCTTCATCATAAATTCAACCAGAAACAAAGACCTTTACTGTCAGATGTATACATGCATCAGAGGCTGACAACAGGAAAAGCAGCACTCCTCCTCCTTTCCTCCCTCATGCATGTATACAGTTTTCCTTTGCAGGACTTTTAAAACTCTTTTTAAATGTAACAATCTCACTGCATATGGGAGAATTTTTTGGTGTGTGCTTTTTTCTCTGAAGACATAGCTGTCAGATAAAATTCACCGTTATTTAATTAACAAATATTTATAATACTGAAAATACTGATTACTTTTTAGAGTTCTACAGTAGCTACATGTGACAGAAGTCAGACTCACGGAACATATTTGGTGGTTTAAGTGTTAAAAAAAACCCCAGTGTAACCAATATATATATTTTCAAATATTTTTGTCAGATGCTTCTAGAAATTAGTTCTGTTGCCATACTTCACAATTCATTCTATACTCAAAATCTGTGTGCAAGCAGTGAAAGCTGAACTATGGAAATTTTCAGCGAAACTGCTGCAGCTCCTGCTTCAGAGCCATTTGTGGATAGTAGAAGTTAGAGCTGTAACAGCTGTACATTTCACTAGCATGACACTCCAGTGGATCATCAAATTCAGGGAGTCTCCTATTAAGGAAGGACAAGGTACAAACACAGGCTTATTTGATCACAGTCAGTTCCAGAGACAGCCTTATTATGAAAGAAGAAGCAAGCAGAGAGCATCAGGAGATTAACTACATTAGCAAAGACTGGAGTGGGTATGTTTCTTGTTATGTGACAGGATACAAGTACAGGCCTTTGAAGACCTCCTTTGGATACAGCCATTTCCATACTTGTGTTCTCAATTTTCACATAGACATTTTTTCTCCTAGTTAACACAAAACAGTTATGATTCTAACTCCCTTTAGCTCAATTCTTTAACTATGCACTACTTAGCATGGGAATTTCTTCAAGCCACTTAAACATGCATATGCAAAGCAAAAGATAGGAATGATTAGCTCTTTCACATTGATTACCTCTTGTTATTTATCATATTTTCTGAGAAGTACTTATATCATGCCATAGCTAGATTGTTCTGTGCTTTTGGACACCTCATTCATAGGAACCCTTCTGTGTTTTGAATAAAGCATGCTTACATCTTCTGAACTATGCTGGCTTATGTAATTAAGCCAAACAATCTGTGGTATGCTGTCAGCTGACAATGTCAGCACAACATGCTAGGCAGGTTATCAGTTGAAATGCAGGAGGTATACTTGAAAAAATACCTTCAAAAAGCCGTATGTTCTCACTGGCAATATTAAAGGCCTGTTTACACAAATAACGCTTAGTTTTTGTCCCTCTGATGTCAAGCACTGTCATGCTTAAGTAGTCCTAAACTGGCATTTTGGACTGTAGACTCTAACAATGGATGGAAACACAATGAAGTACTCAAACAATGGAAAATAGAGGGAGGAAGGGGAGAGCCTAACAGCAGCAGCAGTTTATACTGCAGTGTAAGCACATCTGCATATAGACACACAAGCATGTATGTAAAAATTAGACAATTATGTAATGACTTCAGTGTATTAATTTCCATTTATTTATGAGAATTAAAATATTGCTGTCTTCTTATGAGAAGTATTACATAGGTAAAGATGGTTATAACTCAGATCCACATCCACATGGATCTCATCTGACCAATAATCAAAGATGTGGGTCTGCCTGCCTTGGTGGTGACAGAGAGTAGGAACTGAGCATTCCCTCAGGTGTCGTGACTACCTTCAGAGGAAGTATTGACACAAATGATGTTCCAGTTTTGTCTTGGTATTACAGATCTTCTGATTTTATTCTTTCTTTTGTGTGAATTTTTTAGGGACTAGGAGTACAGGAGTGTTGCTGTATAATAGGCCTGCTTTTTCAAGATGAAAAAGGCTATATTGTTATAAAAGCTCGTGGTTAATGCCAAAGATAAGTAACTGGCAGTTGGTTTCAGAAAGAAATGTATATCCTCTATAGATTTTTATCAACTTACATAATGATATGTCTTACTGATAATGCAAAATGAACTTTAAAATGGAAAAGGAAATTCAGTTTATCCTGTCCCACAACTGCCACATGTAATTTCTCACTATAAGGCAACCCCTATAAACAAATTATAAAATTGAGTAGACTGTTTAAAAGGACACAAACTAAATGCTTGGTAAATGTGGGGATGGTTTTTTACTGATGGACAAGAAAAAAGGACCTTACAAACCAAAAAGCTGTCCTGGCTTGTAAAATAAGCATGTATTCTATTTGCTCATTGAAACAATATTCTCAATAAAAAGAAATGCATCTGCCTCTTTAATAGGCAATGATCCTGCTGCATTCCCTAAGCAGCTCGACTCTTATGGAGATCCAGAAGTTAGCACAGCTCAGTTTTTCTCCACTGTTAACTACCAGGACCTTACTTCACATATGAAGTACAGTTTCACTGCACATTACCTTAGACGTCAAAATCTTCAAAAAAGTCTGGAGGAGGGAGGCACATGGGTCATTTGGAGACACAACTGCAGAATAAAATAAGTAGAATGACTAAAATAATGCAGATCTTATCTGTACCAGACTGGCAATTAGCTAAACTAAAACAGTATCTTGCTGGTACATTTTTCTATTTAGGAGCAGACCCAACAGTAGATAGCTATAAATTAGTTACTTCAATGCTTGTCAGATATGTGGCCTCTGAAGTGGAATCCAAAAACTTGCTATGCACAGAATAAGTCCAGTACTTAATAAGTGTGAATTGCCCCAGAAGAATAATTCATAGAGCTGAATACTAGAAAGCTATAATGGAGAAGATAAACAGACATAAAAAAACCCCAAAAACAAAAACAACCCCCACCCAAAAAACCAAACAAACAGAAAAACCACCCCCCCCAAAAAAAACAACAAAAAAACCCCCTAACAACAACAACAAAACAAAACGTCCAAAAAAACTCAAAAAGCCAAAAAAAAAAAAAAAAAAAACCAACAAAAAACAAGCAAACAAAAAACAAACAAAAAACCAGCTCTGGGTTTGAGATTTCCTCTCCCGGGAAAATCTTGTTACTTAAAACCAGTAACTTTAAATAAAAAGAAATAAAACATTCTAGGAAACAGGGACTTGAGTTACCTAGGAGTTCTAGCTGCTAACCTAAAGAGTCATATTCCCCCATTGATGCTCTACTTCTGGTGCCAGATCTTGGAATCAGATACACATGCAAATTAATAGAGCTCATTAAGTTACCTTCTATCAGCTGAACCATGGTAACCAGCCTGGGGTACTCTTCTCCAATGGCAAATGAGAGATAAACACTCAGTAATTCACACCTGGTGTCTATGCTTAATGCAACTCAGCTGCTTGCTTTTCAGGCCACAAGTCCAGGGCACCCACGGCGTACGCATATTCTTCACTGGTGGTTCTGTTAAAAAAACCCCAAACCAACAAACACACAAAAACAAAACTAAAGACACTAAGTTTAGGTACTTCCATGGTTAAAGAGAGGTTCCTATTTGTATGTAAATTTTGAACTTAGGTGTTTTAAGTATCAAGGTTCTTTTTAGGAACCCTTGAACCTTACTGGACTTTAGCAAGAGTTCACAAGGATGCGAAGGGAGGTTGGCGGGACCTGAACGGCTGGGAGAGGGCACTGGACACCACCCCGACTCCGGGCATGGAGGCAGCGGCAAAGCCGCCTTTTCCCGGGGCACGTTCCCCGCGCTCCGAGGGCCGGGACATGCCCCGCGACAAAGCCTCCCGCTGCAGGGCCGCAGCAAGCTGGCGGACAAAGCGCGGGACGCGCCGGTGTCCGTCACGCCGGGCCGCTGCCGTTCCCGCGGGGCTCCCGGCCCCGCCAGGCTGCGGGGACGCGCCCGGGACCGCCCGTCCCCCGCGGGGGGCTGTCTCCTGCCCTCACACCGGCCGAGCCCCCGGGCAAAGCTCGATGGAAGCAGGCGGGCCCCCCTCGCAGCCTTTCCCCGCTCCTGCCGGCCGTCCGGCCCTGCGCTGCCCCGCCGGACGCTTCCGCGGCCGGGGCCTGCCCGGCCCAGCCCGGCGGGCAGCGCGGCCAGGGTTAACCCTGAGGAATGCGGCGGGAGGAATGTGCATGCAGATGAGATGGATGCTAATCTCATGCTAATGAGCGGCGGCCGCGGCCGCCCGGGGCTCAGCCGGGCTCCCCGCGCCCAGACGGCAGCTGGGCTCCGCCGGCAGCCCTGACCCGCCGCCGCGGCGCGGGCGAGGCGGCAGCCCGGGCATGGTGGACTGAGACCCGGCAGAGGGCTTCCCTGGGCTCCCGCGAGCCCCCGCTCCCGGCCCCTTCCCCGGCCCGGGTCGGGGCTTTTCCCGCTTCCCGTCTTTCTTTCTGTCCCTATGGAGCAGCTACCCCCGCCGAGCGACCATGCCTAGGAAAGCGGGGAATGGGCAGCTTCCCTTACCCGATGGCTGGGAGGAGGCGAGGGATTACGACGGCAAAGTCTTCTACATCGACCACAACACCAAGCAGACCAGCTGGATCGACCCCCGGGACAGGTGGAGCGCGGGCAGGGGGCGGCGAGGCCCGGGCGGGCGGTGGGCTCGGGGCGGGGGGCGCGCCAGGGGTCCCCTCCCGGGCCGGGGAGCGGGGGGGCAGGAGAAGCCCTTGCTTGCAGCCGGGCACACCGTGCCCTCCCTCCCACAGGCTTGTTTCTAAGCCTGTGGCGCGAGTTGGTGTTGGGGCGGGGAGGGAGAAGCCTGTGGAGTTCCTCTGGGAGCGGCCGGGGGTTGCTGGCATTCGGGGAGTTCCCGACAGGTACCAAAGTTTGCGAGTTCCTCCCAAACCGGAGGCGCTGGCTCCTCGCCCTCCCTCTCGCCCGGGCGCTGCGGAGCGGGGCCGCCTCCCCCCTGCGGGCTGGCGGAGCATCCCGGGCGCGGGGCCCTGCCGTGTGCCCCCGCTGCCCCGGCCCGCCGCCACCGGAGCGCCGTGCGGGGCTGCGGGGAAGGAGCCGCGGCTGCCGGAGGCCTCGTGTGCTCGCTAGGCCTCAGCGAGCCCAGATGCGCTCAGCCCCGCCGGCCGCAGCCCGCCGTGCCCGCTGTCCCTGCCGGGGCTCAGCTCTGTGGAACTCAGCCGCTGGAAGTGCTTCGGCCAGTGGAGCAGCCTGCGCCAAGGCTGCTCGTCCCGGAGTGCCCGGGGCAGCTGTGCCGGCTGGACACGGATGCTGGCTCTGTGCCTCGGCTTCAATGACTGTTTTTAATAGCTGGATCACAGGCGCACAGGATACCTAGTGCAAAACGTGTCTTTTGTCCGAAGTGGTGCTGAAAAGTAATTAAACTTTGTGCATATTATGGAATACGGTGTTGCAATTGGAAACAGTGCAGTCTTATTAGTTAAAAAAAACCAAACCAACTTCTAAGAGACATTATCAATTTGTGAAACAAGCAGCACTGAATTATAAATGAAGGCCTTGGTTTATATTTCTCAGGTGAACTTAGAAAAGGTGGTTGTGGCGAAGCTTGCTGGCTGCAAGTTGCAGAGGAAAGTTTTGACGAGCATCATGTGCTGTGTAAGGCCTGCTGCTCAGTCTTACTTGCTATGACAGCAAATTCCAGTAGTGGCAAACTTCATGCTTAAATTCCTCTGTACTTCACAACTTGTTAATTACCTTGTAAATATCAGTGAGGTGATAAAGTATACAGGACAATGTTATTTATTACACCTGGCATTCTTGGGTGATTTTTTTTTTTAATACAGGCAGTATAAAACTTCTGTCTTTATGGTCTCTAGAGATAGTGGATATGTTTTTGTTCAGCTTTAGACCTTAAATGTGTGTTTTCAAAGCAGAATAGAAGATAGTATGATTGAGGTAAAGCAAAATGTGATATGGAATGAACTTGTAATACTGCCTCAACTAGTATACTATTAATTGAATTTAATACCTTCTGTAGTCCTGAAAAGTTCAAGACTATTCATATTTGATGGTAAAATTTGAGTCTTCACTCTCATTAACAGAGTAGACAGTGACATAACAGTTGTGTGTTTGCCATCCTATAGGAATAGGATAAATATTGTTTCATTAATGCCTTATAGGTGAAAGGGAAACCAAGTCCTGAGAGCTTACTCCCTTAGTTCTCATTACAGATTATAAAGACCTTTTCAGAAGAGTAGTGTTTGAAATAATTGTTAACCTGCTTCAGTCATGCAAAACAAACAAAAAGGGATTTTGCCCTAGGTACTTAAGAGAACCATGCTTTAGTGTACATGGCTCAGCTGTGAAGCTGAATTGCCTGCACAGAGGAGAGACTGACAAACCCATTTGATGTGCAACTTGCAGTATTTGTATTTATATTGGTGACTTGTTTTGGAAAAGCTAACAAGGAATTCGTGAAAGTCTTGTGATGATTTTGCTTTAGATTCAGTTTTATCTTCCGTGTATTTAGAGAATATACATTTGGAAACCACACAGAACATTATTTGGGCTTGCTGTCAGAAAAGTTGAAAAGTGATTTTCCAAGTTTGTCAATACAATGAAATCTGGATTAATGTTGTTTCTAAAACTTATAATAAATTGTCAAAACGAAGGTAATGAATTATAAAGACTGAAAACATGTTGCCTTGTCTGGTGATACTTTAGGACTTTCTTTTTCCCCAAATATTTTCTCTCATCAAAAGATCATAAAGTTTTCATGATGTACCTGTGGAATATTATAGCACACAGGCTTCTAAAATGTTTCATTGGTAAAGCAAGTGTAAAATAGACAAGTTTTTACTGACAATGTTAATTCTGCTGTTGTTACATTGCATTCCCTGGATGATTACATAGAAAAGTCATGTTTGATGTTCTAAAATAATTTTTATCCTCTTTGATTTAGAAGATACAAATACTGAAGACTAGTGCTGTGCGACATTAGCCATATGTTTGTAAATTGCCAGGTGTATTTGAGCACAGTTAGGAACTTCGTTACTGGTTTAAAATATTCACATCCAGAAATAAGAGGGCAGTTGAAAATGCCATATTTGAAGGCCTCTTGGAAAATTGTGTTTGTGGTTGTTGTGTTTTCAAATATGTTTTCTCACGTTCTTTTCTAGAACATTTATTTGTTACTGCTTAGGTGGTGCAGGTCTGCTAATACAATTATAGCTTTGTGTACAACTGTGGAAAAAACCTTATATCACTTTCAAGTTTTCAGTTTTGCCCACTTATATCTGAATAGTCCCACTGGTGTTAGAGAATCTCACACTTTCAAGAGCAATAGTGACTTAGCTTGTGTTTTGGGAGTGTGGTGGAAGCTCAGGGGTTTTTAATGTTTTGCAATGTTCACCAGTGATTTTTCTCTCCAAACACTCTTCTGTGCTGATTTGTTTTAAAGGCTAGTGGCCCAAAAGAGAGGGCCACTTGAACTTGAAGATCTATAATTCAGATAGACAGAGAGACATAAAGGCAAGAATGTGAGAATTGTAGCAACATTTTCAGTCGCTAAATATATAGATTTTATTTCTCTGTTCATGACTCCCTCAAGCTACAACAAGCTGAGAACTTGCTGGTCATGACAGTTCTTCTGGAACTGGCTTATTGTAAGAAGATAAATAGCCCAAAGTATGAATTTTATCCTCCTACTACTTGACAAAAATATTAAAAGACAACTATGGACTGAAGAGGTTGAAGCAGATGAAAAGGGGAGAGAGGGTTAGAAGAATGCATACTGTTTTTTGAAGTTCCCTTGAAACTCTTTCATGTTCTTGGAATACTGAATAATTGTAAAGTATTGCTTTGGGTTTTTGGTTTTTTTTTTCCTGATAATTAATAGGGGCTTGGGTGGACAGGAATTTGAGAAGGAGAATTCTTCTTTTTTTCCATCATTCAACACATTTTAAGTAGGTCTCATGTTTGTTATATTCCTTAGTGGAACCAACAGAGAAACACACCGAGGAGGAATGCAATGGAAGATAGGAATCTCAGTAATCTGAATTTTTCAGAAGTTGGATGATGCTTGGTTTTCTTACTATGAATTCAGGGCTTCTCTTATCTTGGTTTCTACATAATAAGTAGTCCAGTGCACACTGCTGATCACCCTTGAGTCAAAACAGATGTTTTTTTTATAGCTTGCCTATAATGAGTTCTGCATCACAAATTCTGAAGCTGCGAGTGATCTTCATTTAAAACTTTATCTGCAGTCCTGTCCCACTCCTGTCAGTGGTAAGGAATGAGATACTATGAAAACAAAATTATCCTTTCTGTTCTCACTTCACTTTCCACTGAGGTCTAAAATCTTTTAAAAATACATTTGTACATTTGAAATGGTTTATAGTATACTTCTGCTAAAATGTTTCGAGAGTACTTGCTAACCGTGTAACTAAGAAAGTGCTTGAGAAACATTAGCTGTCAGAAAACCAGAGAACTTTACAAGTTAAGATTGTGAAAGGGTTTGCTTTGTGAGTAGGGAATGCAGTTTCCATTGCTGCTCTCATCTTTTGGGGAGGTGAAAACACTACAAATTTTAGCATGGGATTTTGTAACTTGTGCTAGATTTGTCTGAATTGGGAAATTTACTAGGTTTTGGCAATTAAATGTCATTTGTCCTTTTTCCATTGCTGTAGCTCAGGGGTGCATGGTAAAAGACTTTCAGTCACAGCAGAAATAGGAGTCACATGGGACAGTGGGCTCATTAAAGATAGCAAATAAGAGGCAAGCAGAAATGAAATAACATGGTCAGAGGCATCATCAGAGAGTGAAAAATACATTTGGATTGATTCTTTAATGCATGTAAGAAAGCTGTGCTGTGACAGATGAATAAAATAATAAGTGTTAGTTATTACAGTTTGCAAGGGATTGATCTTAATTCTATTTTAAGTGCTGACCTCAACATTGATCATTTACCACTGCAGCAACTACCTGATAATGGCCTTTCTTTAGGCTGCTGCTTTCTAAGAATGAATTTAATGGCAAACCATCACTGGTTTCTCATATCATTTCTCATTCTGTTTCTATCTTCGCTTCTGTTGTTTGCTAATAACCGAGGAGGGCATGAGGCTTTCATGTTTTGATGGTATGGAGCTGCTAAATTATTGTTTCAACATACATTTGAGCCTTAATCAGCAATGGTCAACTTGCTCTTTTGAAAAATTAGTTGAGAATCCTTTGACGGCACTCCAAGATGTACAGCTTGAAATAATCCTGTAGTGAGATAGGGAAGAAAAATATATTTGGGAAAAAAAATTGTTGCACTGTTTCATCCTGTAGTATCATTTGTTGGTTTTTATCCCAATTCCACCTAATTTATTTCTGCCTCCTTGGCTGCTCAGGAATGTGCATGCTCCCTGTGAAACTGTCTAGTATCTCATTCTGATTTCAGTGACAGGTTGAGGACTGCTTTTACTTAATTGATCTATATTTATTCAAAATAAAACCCATGATGCAAGTACTGAACATGTAATGAGAGACTAGCTGTGTCTGAAGTTCTGACATCTTCATTTGTTTATCCAGTGTTAAGTAGAATTCTAATACTGCAGTGCTCCTGTAGCTGTGATAGCATCACACAGTGTTAAAATACAAAGTGATTGTGTATGTGAGTTTGTTAACCAGTCTGTCATTTG